TCCATCAGTAAGTATTTTAAGTCCTGTTTGCTTTCAGCAAGCAGGATTGTATTATCTGTATATCACAGGTTGTTAATGGTTCTTCCTCCAATCTGATACCACGTTTTCTTCATACAATCCAGTTTCTCAGATTATTTGTGCAGCATACAGATTGAATAAGTATGGTGAAAGAATACAACCCTGGTGCCCACCTTTCCTAATTTTAAACCATTTGGTGTACCCTTGTTCTGTCCAAAAAAATGCCTTTTTGTCTAGGTACAGGTTTCCCATGAGCACAATTAAGTATTCTGTGGAATACTCATTCTGGGCAATCTTGTCCATAGCTTGTCATGATCCACACAATCAAAAGCCTTGGCATAATTACTAAAGCACAGGTAAACATTTTTTCTGGTATTCTCTACTTTCAGCCAAGATCCATCTGACATCAGCAATGATATCCCTCATTCACATCCTCATCTGAATCAGCCTTGACCGCCTGGCAATTCTCTTTGTCAATTTTTGTTTGTCACCATTTTTAAGTTATCTTTAGCAAAATTTTACTTGCATGGGATATTAGTGATATTATACGATGATTTTTGCATTCTGTTGCGGTCATCTCTCTTTGGAATGGGCACAAATATGAATCTCTTCCAATTAGTTGGCTAGGTAACTGTCTTCCAAATTTTCCTGGCATGGATGAGTGAGTGCTGCCAGTGCTTCATCAGTTTGTTGAAAAATTTCAATTTATATTCCCTCAATTCCTGGAGCCTTGTTCTTTGCCAATGACTTCAATGCACTTTCAACTTTTTCCTTCAGTGTTATTGGCTATTGGTCATATGCTACCTCTTGAAATAGTTGAACATCATCTTTGCACATTTTGTTACAGTATTTGACTTTGTCTTCTCAAGTTGACCTTTTACATTTTTTCTGTTCGGCGCTTGTACTCCTATGTTTTCCATTTGCTTTAGCATCTCTACGCCGCAAAGCAATGTTGAGAGTCTCTTCAGATACCCATTTTGGTCTTTTCCTTCTTTCTTATCTTCTTAATGACCTTGGACTTTCTTCCTTTATGATGTTCTTGATGTCATCCCACAACTCTTCTGGCCTTCAGTCTGTAGTGTCTAATGTATCAAATCTGTTCTTGAGATGATCTCTAAATCCAGGTGGGCTATATTCAAGGTCATATTTTGGCTCATGTGGGCTTATTTTTATTTTCTTCAGCTTCAGTCTGAATTTGCATATGAGCAATTCATGGTCTGTTCCACAGTCTGCTCTTGGCCTTGTTTTGACTGATGTTACAGATCTTTTCTTTCCACAGATACAGTCAATTTGATTTCTGTGTATTCCATCTGGTGATGTCCATGTGTATAGTCATCTTTTATGTTGTTTGAAAAGGTATGGTATGCACTCAATTCACAATAAAAACTTCAGGTTTGGCATGGTATAAGCTTCTAGATGCTATAAAAGCAAAAAAACAAAACAAAAAAGGTATGGTGTGGTGCTGTGGGTTAATATGCTGGACTGAAAGGTCGGTTTGAAACACAAGGTTGGTGGTTCAAGCTTACCAGCTGCTTCTTGGAAACCCTATACAGGGTTGCTATGAGTTAGAACTGACTCGAGGACTCTTAACCACAACGGGGATCCATTCAGGTAAGGAAGGCAAGGAGCTGTGGTCACAGTGCTCCTTTCACAAACTTTCCATTCCTGTACCTTCCCCCTAGTGGTCACCTTGCTTGCTTTACACAGGTTTCAGCATTGTTTTCCATGTCAGTTATCAGTCCTCCATCCATTCTCAGCTTGGGTAAATCTGTTTACTGGTGTCTCCTTTTCCACTCTATGTGGGTTTGTATTACTTTGCTTTGGGTGGGAATGGAGGTGAATACCAATGCTCAGTCTCCCATGTTTAACTCTGTCACTGGTCTTTTCTCCCTAACCCCTTGTCGGTTACCAGGGGATTTTTGTCTTACCATATTCAATTGTTAATTCTTAGTCCTCATGTTACTCAGTCCCTCTAAAAACTTGAGACAAATCACCATGTCTTTGCTTTGTCTCCCAGGTTTTCCTCTTCCTTACTGGCTCCTCCTCAATTAATTTGTTGTTGTTGTTAAGTGCTGTCAAGTGGGTTGCAACTCTGTATAGGGTTTCTGAGGAGCAGCTGGTGAGCTTGAACCACTGACCTTGCAGTTCAAACGACTTTGCAGTCTAACGCATTAACCCACAGCACCACACCATGACTCCCCTCAATTAGGTCTCATAAAAATGAAATCACATCAGACATCCTCTAACTTCATGAAGTGGGAGAATCAAAATCAGCATCAGCCCAAAAGTTGATTCCTGCTTAGCTCAAGGTCAGCAGTTCAAAACTACCAGCTGTTCTGTGGGAGAAAGATGAGGCTTGCTGCCCCCATAAAGATTTATAGCCTCAGAAACCCTATGGGTTAGGACCAACTCCACAGCATACCACTACCACCACCATTAGGTGGAAGTCAGATGTACCTCCATTCTCCCACCTTTTACCAATTCTGACACCAGTTGTGCCTCCCACAACACTCCACTTCTCTGCTGGATTCAACAAATTGTTGTAGTGGCCCTACTGAACTCACAGACCATAATATTCAAGACTATAGGTTTTATTAGGAAAGTAACAGGTTACAATTCAGGATCAGGATCAACTTGGAGGTAACAGGAACAACTTGGGTTACTATTCTTTGGTTAGGACATGTGCTTCCTTGTTATGTTTTAAGGCAGGCCCCTCTCATCATTTGGCTTTTGGCTTGGCCTCTGCCCTGACTGGGCAAGTTAAAAAGCTCTTTATCTCTACTGATAGGTGCCTAGAGGCACCCCACTCTACCAGCAAGCCTCCTGCTCAAAGGCTCTCAGTCCTTTGTCCATGCAGTCGCCTAGATCTGTGACAGGGGAAGCCCATTGCATCTTCTCATACAGGTCTGGTCCCTGTCATCTCATGCTACTGCCACTTACAGTGTTATTGCTCTTTCCCCTGGGTCTAAGAGGTTCTCAGTGTTGGGACCCTGGTTCCAAAGGATGTGCTGCTCCAGTCTGGCTCTTCTGCTTGATGGTAATAAGGTCTCCCTACAACCTTTGGGACTGACTTACATCAAGCCTAGTTGTTGTTGTTAAGTGCTGTCAAGTCGGTTCCGACCCATAGCGACCCTCCCTGTTTAGGGTTTCTGAGGAGCGACTGGTGGTGGTGGTTATGTGCCATGGAGTCAGTTCCGACTCACAGCGACACTGTACAGGATTTCTGAGGCTGTAAATCTTTACGGGAGCAGAAAGCCTCATCTTTCTGCAGCGGAACAGCTGGTAGGTTTGAACTGCTGACCTTGTGGTTTGCAGCCTGATTTGTAACCACTACACTACCAGAGCTCCTACTGGTAAAGAAGAGGGTCAGCAAAAAAAAAAAAAAAAAAGGACTGACCCAGTGGCTGCAACAGTGGGCTCCAATGATGATTGTACGGATGGCACAGTGTTTCCTTCTGTTGTAATAGGGTTGCAATGAGTTGGAATTGACCTGACAGCACTTAACGCCACTAATCTCCAGAAGTAAGTTGACAGGTCTTGTTTTTCACAGAGGCAGATTCGAATCACTACCTGCAAGATCGGTGGTTCAAGCTCACCAGTCGCTCCCTGATGAGTCACTATGAGTCGACATTGACTCGATGGCACTTATCAACAACAACTCCAGCGATAGGAGCACTTGTGTGGCGCTGTGGGTTAATGCGCTGGACTGCAAAGTCTATATGAACGGCAAGGTTGGTGGTTCAAGTTTACCAGCTGCTCCTTGGAAACCCTTTACAGGGTCGCTACGGGTCGGAACCGACTCAACGGCACTTAACAACAACAACGCTAGGGATAAGTAGCTTTGGTAGCGTAGTGGTTACTAGTCGGCCTGCTAACCTTAAGGTCAGCAGTTCGAAACTACCAGCCATTCTGCGGGAGAAAGATGAGGCTTTCTGCTTCTGTAAAGATTTACAGCCTCGGAAACCCTATGTGGGGTCGCTATGGGTAGGAACCCACTCCACGGCACACCACCACCACCACCACCACCACCACTCCAGGGATAGTGAGGAGGGCACAGGAGCGGGCAGTTTCGTTTTGGTGTACACGGGATTGCGGAATTGAAACCGACTCTATGGTCCCTAATAACAATTGCGAGCGCTCCTTGATTGACGAAGCAGCCCTCCTTGGTTCCTGGGCTTGAGGGGGTGGGGAAAAGTTTCTGAGTCCACCTAGATCACTATCCCCTTATCAGTCAGCTTCCCAACCTGTTTCAAAACTCTTCATTCCCATCCGGACTTCGCACCTCACACAAGCTCCAACCTCTGCCTTCCACTCACTCACCTCACTCACCGGTTCACCTCCAAGTTCCGCGCTGCCCGCCCACCGCTGATCCGCAAATGTACAGAGCCCTGCCCTCCGCCAGCCCCTCTTTCCCCAAAATCCCTTATCTTCCTGTCCTCCACCAGGTTCTCCTCGCCGGGGCCCTGCCCTAAGGGGCCCGACACCGTGCTACAGATGGCAACTAAAGCTCCTCCGGTGTAGGCAAGACCAGGCTCAGGAGGCGGAGCCACCCATCTGCTGGTTGGAGTAGGCGGTGGCCCTAGTGACTAGATCCAATCTGCAGATCCAGCCTCCCTTCCTGCCCCGCCCCTCCGCCTCTCTGGGGCGTCCGGCGTTAGACCAGTGCTGTAGCCTGGCGCGTCCCGGGCCCACCCTCACGGCATTCTGATTGGGTGTGTGGGCCTCGGCCCATCTCACTCTACGTCTAGGCTGAGCATACGCCTGCGCAGTGCGCGCACGGGCGAGGCCCGACATGGTGCTCCGCCCCTGAGGGGGTGGGACGCGCGGTGGGTTTGGTGTTTGTCGGCTCCCGACGCGGCGGCGACGGCTAACGCTCCGTACCATCATGACGGAGGGCACGTAAGTTCTCGCGCTGGACCCTAGATCTCTCGGACCCCTGAACCTCCAACCCCGGTACCCGGACCTTGAGTTACAGCAGCAGCGAGCGCACAGTGCTCAGACACAGGCTACCCGGGAGACTTGGGGGCGGGGAGGCTGGGGTCCCGGAGGACGCCTGGTGCCTCGTGAGCCGGCGAGGTTTGATGCTTAGGTTACACCGACGGCGGTGCTGCCAACTGGGGACCAGTTAGCCTTGGTGCCTGGCGAGGGATCTGAAGAGGAGTGGAGTTGTCAGGGGGATAGTCTGTGTGCTTTTAAGGTAGGACCTAGGTTGTTCTGAGGGTTGGATGTGGGAAAGGTGACGAGATCTTGGGGGGAGTGGGAAAGGAGGAGGTAGAGACTGAGGTGGCCCCCAAGTCCTAAGAGCTTTGCCGGAGAGTGAACCCGCAAATAGGCGGTACTGGACCAGAATTCAAAGTTTCCAGCAAAAGACACGCTCCTCTCGTGCTAGGACTAATGCTTTACACTCACAGTGATCAGCTTCACTAGTGAGCTCAGGTGGATTTCCCCCGCCCGCCCCCTTACACATGGTTGGTGCAAGGCAGATAACTTGCATACTTCTTTCTAGTGCATAGACTGGAGAGACCTGTTTCCTCCACCAGGAACAGATTTGCAAGTGCGGTGGTTGTTGTTAAGTACCGTGGAGTTAGTTCCTACTCATAGTGACCCTGCACAGGGTTTCCGAGGCTGTAAATCTTTATGGGAGCAGAAAGCCTCATCGATTCCCCCCGCAGCCGAATTCGTAACTACTATGCTACCAGAGCTCCTAAGTGGGATTGAGTAGGTGTCATATAGTGCCCACGCATGTGCCAGAGATGGAAAAAGTTATCATGTGCCTAGAACAGGGGGAGGCTTGTCCAATAAATAAGAGAAGGAACTGAGGGAGAGAAGGACCCAGTTCCCAGCCCCTTAATCAAACATTGTACCGGGTCCAAGACCTTTATTCAGGCAGCATACATGAGAAGGCATATAGGTAGACCATTCCTCCAACAGGCTAGACACAGAAGTGATATAAAGTGGGGTTTTATTTGTAAGATGGGAGAAATAACCATTAACTTGTAAGCTTTCAGGAGTAAAACAGTAAATATACAAAGATAGTGATGAAGGAGACCCAGGGGAGTATTCCTGGGACATGTCCCTGAGTAGGCAGAGGACTACCACCTCTGTGGAGTGTGTGGTCTCGCCATGGTAACAGCAGGAGAGGCTGGCGGCAGGTGAATGGGGCTGTGATTCCACTGAAATAGAGGCCAGGTGAAAATGGAGAGGCTTGATGACAGCTGCCTAGTGGTGCTGAGAATCCACTGGGGTTAATGGTTATGAGTTCACAGTGAGACCAGTTGGTGTAATGGGGGTTTATTCAGAGCACCATCTGCTGCACTAGTCCAGTGGGGAGAATGGATTTATGCGTTAAGTAACCTCTGCCAGTCACCTGGTGCCTTGGCCTTTCCCCTGTCAAGGACAGGTGGTGATCTCTGCCCTGGGTCCCTCTCAGGGCTGTTCTCAGGGTCAGATGAGCCAGTGAACATAATGGTGCTCTTGGTGTCTGTGTAGAAAATCACTACTGGCCAGGCTAGGAGGGCTGGAGCTGTAGCAGCAGATCTCCTGATCTTGCTGCTCCCAGAACCTGCAGTTCCTTGTACATCTGCCCAGGCTGCCCACTGGGAAAATGCCCTGCCACACAGTGGGCTTGTGAGTTGGGAGGGTGGAGGCCTAGGCCGGTGGTCCCATTCATTCCTGGATCTAAGCTCTTCATCTAGTGAAAAACAGACAGGGTGGATACCTGAGCACGATTGTTTTCAGGTATCTGCGCCGAAGAGGGGGACCCTATAAAACGGAACCTGCCACTGACCTCAGCCGCTGGCGCCTCAGCAATGAAGAAGGAAGACAGAGATGGAAGTATTTCCAAGAAGATGAAAACCCTGGCCGAGTGCAGACAGGCCTAGAAGCCCACTCACTGGGACTGGACACGGTAGGTGGCTGCATCTCATCTGCTCATCTTTGTTTCACATCTGGGAAGTGGTCAGGAGGCTGACTGAACCCTGTCTGCCCAGCCAGGGAACTTTGGGAAGTTAGTTGTGATGGGCATTTATTTTTATGTCAAAAATACTTTGTGGGTATGGTGCATGTGGCCTTCACCTTGAATAGTCAAGGTTGCTGCCCATGGGAACTGGTTGAATTAAAGATAAAACATGAGTTGAATGGTCCCTTTGCTTCAATGAAGCACAAGTAGAAAATGCTCTAAATTTTGTTTTTAACTATTGATTTTGAAATGGTTTAGATTTACAGCAGAGCTGTAAAAATGGTCCTAATTTTGTTTTTAGTCACAAAAAGAAGCTTATTTTTTTTAATAGTATGTTATCTTTATTTTTCCTAGATTCTGAATACAATGTCTTAGAAGTACACTCTATTCTTTTCTAAATCTGTTTAGTTTTCTTCCAGTGTAGATTCTTTACTGCACAATTGGTAAATGTGAGAATGCACATTGTGACAGAACTGTAACTCACTGGTTTATCATTACACAGAGTTGAACTCTGTATGCAGTATGACCTTTATTATTGAAATTATTACTGAAATTAACTTTCTTTACAAGGCAGTTTATATATAAACATTACAAATTAATTTTTCCTTTTTTGTTCTAACTATTAAGTTTTGCAACCAACCTCACTTCCATTGCTATTCATCAGATCTTAGAGACTTCTTTCATACTCCTTAGATGGTAGATGTGGTTGGAAAACCTCGACTGTTTCAGTTGACCCTGAAGTAGTTTCAGCAAATACTGGAAGGGTTAATGTTGACCAAAGGAGGACACAGATTTCTCAAAAACTTTGTTTTAATGGGTCTCAAAATTCTGTGACAAATTTTTGACCAAGTTGTATCCATTTATAAAGCACTGATTTAAAAAAACTAATAACTTAAAAGTGCCACACAAAAAAATCCTTTCTTTCTGAAGGCTTTAGATGCACTGTTATCATTAACCAGTCTTTTACAATTAAACTTAAATGGCCAATTGTGACAAATAATTCTGAGATGGTTCTTCTACCACTGATGAAGAGACAGGTGTTAAGGGTGATACTCATTCCGTTTTCTGAGCAGACTTGATGACCATCCCAGCTCCAGCAGTCTTTTGTCTACTGCCTTGAAGACACACACAACAACAGTCTGTCTCATATCATGAACAGCAAAATGACCCAAAGGAGGGTAGTTGCATAAGCTCTTAATACACTTGGATTTGTTGGGAACCATGTCAACAATGGCAGTATCACCAGATTTCAGGAATTTGGGGCCATCTTCCAGAATGGCGATCTATCTCTTTGAACTCAGCAAACTTGCAAGCAATGTGAGCTGGGTGACAATCCAGCACTCGTGCATATCCAGCACTGATTCAGCTTGGATGGTTGAGGATGATCACCTGCACAGTGAAGCCAGCTGCTTCCATTGGGAGGTCATTCTTTACAATGAAGCTTACTTTGCCCCCAGGTAGAGCTGTGCTCAAAGTCTCATTGTGCATTTCAACAGACTTTACTTCAGTGGTAAAGTTGACTGGAGCAAAGGTGACCATCGTGCCCCATATGAGAGCACCAGTTTCCAATATGCCCACAGGAACAGGATCAGTACCACTAATTTTGTAGATATCCTAGAGAGGCAGGCGCAGGGGCTTGTCATTTGGATGAGTTGGTGGTAGGATGCAACTCAGAGTTCAAAGCAGCATGGTTCCACTGCTGTTGCTATCCTTGTGGGTGAATTGACCCCGAAATAGTTTCAGCAAATACCAGAAGGTTTAGTGTTGACCAAAGGAGGACACAGATTTCTCAAAAACTGTATTTTAATGGGTCTCAAAATTCTGTGACAAATTTTTGGCCAACTTAGCAGTTGGCTCCAGCATACTGTCACCATTCCAACTAGAAATTGGCACCAATGCTACTATGTCAGGGTTGTTGCCAACTTTCTTAATGTAGGTGCTGACTTCCTTCATGATTTCTTCATATATCTTATGGCTATAGGATGACTCAGTGGAATCCATTTTGTTAACACCAGCAATTAGCTGTTTCACACTCATGTGTAAGCCAGAAGGGCATGCCCATTCTTAGACATTGTTGGTGTTGTTAAGTGCCGTTGATAGTGACCCTGTATAGGGTTTCCGAGGATTAGCTTGTGGGTTTGAACTACTGACTTTATGGTTTGCAGTCCAGTGCTGATCCCACAGTGCCACACCAGAGATATCAGCTTCAAATTCACCCACACCAACAGTAACAATCAGGACAGCACAGTGAGCCTGTAATGTTCCAGTAATCATGTTTTTGAAAAAGTCTCTGTGTCCTGGAGTATCAATGATGGTCATTTAGTGCTGGCTGGTCTCAGATTTCCACAGGGAGATATCAGTGGTGATGCCATGCTCACATTCACCTTTCAGTTTATCCAAGACTCAGGTGTTTTTGAAGGAGCCCTTCCCCATCCCAACAGCTTCTTTCTCAAGTATTTTTGATGTTTTTTTTGTCGGTCCCACCATATTTGCAGATCAGGTGACCAGTAATGATAGACTTGCCAAAATCTATGTGTCTAGTGACTACTATTTTAATATGAGTCTTTTCCTTTCCTATTTTGTTAGCTTAGATTTTTTTTTTAAGTTTTTATTGTGAACTGAGTGATAGTTTACATGGGAGAACATCGGCTTTACACATCATTTCATCGCAATGATTACAATCTCCTCCATGTACCTTCATTCAACAGTATTTGCTTCCATTCCCTCTTTTGTGTGTGTGTGTGTGTGTATGTGGAATGTACACAAAATACTCAGGAATATGTAATAATTTAAACAACCAAAGGGCACATTCTGCAAGTCTGCCTCTACACCTCCAGCACCCAGTTCTTCTGTTTCCATGAGTCCAGAGTCCTCAGCTGCTCCCTCTCTCCATGTCCTCATCTCTGCCTCCATCTCTGGTGTTGCTGCTCATCTTGATAGGGTCCCACATTTCGCCTGTGCTTTTCTCCCTTAATGGTCCTAGGGTCCTCTGCTTATGGACTGTAAGATTAACTACTCCCCCGTTTTTGTTACAAAAACCTCTACCTTTACAGTTATGAGTCACAATTAGTCATGATAGTAATTACTCACTATTGAGTCACAAGGATCCTATCCCCATCTCCTTTCACCAGACCTATCTAGACAAAATGAAAACTGTTCAGTGGGGACTCTACCCTTTCCCGCACATCTTAAACTAAACTCCCTTTTGAAAACTTGTAAGCCCGTCACTTCATGCCTCTATCGCACCCTCCCACCTACCCCCCCCCCCCCCATTTTAGGTAACCAGTGTCTAAGTTGTCTGTTCCTATCTACTCTGTATACAGAGGGGATAGGATTGATGCTTGATGTGAAGACTCCTTCCATCTCAGTTGGTTCCTTGATGTTTGCTTAGACTTTGCAATGGTTTTCGCCAATACCTGTGTTCAGGAAGCAAATCTAGTGTGAACAAACTTTTTTGCTGTTGTTTTGAGAAGATTCTATGTACTCTTAAGAGAGACTCAGCTGGTGTAAATGGTTCTCCCTGCCAAGCACTGACCCTAATTACATCCCCTCCATGGGAAGCTTTCTGCCATCCTTTGAGCCCTTCCTAGATAGGCCTGAGTCCTGCTCAGGGTGGATATCAGTTTCCCACCCAACACTCTTTGGACACCTGGTTTGTTTAAAATGTCTTAGAGAGGCTTTGAAGAAATTAGCAAATTTTTGAGTGGACAGCAAAACTACAATGGGATAGAGCCATGTTTTTACTTTATTGAGACAATCACAGCTTTATCCAAGTGGTTTGGACTTTTAATTGAAAACTTTGAAGTAATTTTGCTTACTATTTGAACTTGGCCTCTCAGCTCTTGCTTCGTTTTTCCTTTTGCAGAGCAGTTTCTTCAAGGACTTGCCCAAAGCTCACACGGCACAGGATGGGGCTCTGAATGGGATGACTTTTTATGCAGGGCTGCAGGCTGAGGACGGCCACTGGGCAGGTGATTACGGTGGCCCACTCTTCCTCCTGCCAGGTAGGTGTGAGAGCCCAAGGGTAGGGCTACCCGGATGCATCCTGGGCTTCCAGTCCAGCCTGGCCCAGGCTCTTGGGTGAAAACCCAGCATTTCACATGGAAAGTGTCTGGGGGACGTCTGTTCTGCCCTGCTCGTCCTGGGAGGAGGTGGCCTTGCCCTCGAAGCCCACCCCATTCTGGGGCATGATGGATGCTGGTGGGGTGTCGGCAGGGAGGGAGACTCTTGAGCTTCAGCACAGACTGGGAAGGGCCCCCCAAAGGTGGCAGTGATAGGTGAGAAGCAAGCAAGACGAAAGGTGAGAAGCAAGATGTCAACTTGGCAAGATGTCAACTTGGGCGGAGCTGCGGAACCCAGGCAAGGCAGGTTCAGGTTGCAGTTGCACCACAATTGTAGCTTGGTTTCTAGGCTACTAAACTGGTTTGGCAGGATAATACCGTGCTGCACCTTGGGAATGTGTCTGGAAACACAGCCTGGTAATGTGGAAATTTCCTCTAAGTAGTAGTCATGCAACAGAACCCTTCTCCAAGGACTTGTAATCATTCTGGTTCTGTTACCTAAAATGTTGTGAAATCACAAGTCTCTTTCTGTTATAATCAATCCAAGTTTGTGGTAGGTTTGATGTCCTAATATCCCTTCATTGCCTTTCTTTTTCACAACTTCCTTGACTGGGTGGGCCTGCTTAGTCATGCAAATTGTCTTTGTTGAGACTTAGTTTGTTGCTCTTATTAGGTGCCATCAAGTTGGTACTAACGCATAGTGACCTTATGCACAGCAGAACGAAACACTGCCCAATCCTGTTGCCATGCTTGAGTCCATTGATGCTGCCACTTGGCCAATCCATCTCATTGGGGGCGGGGAGGGGAATCTTCCTCTTTTTCTCTGACCCTCCACCTTACCAAACATGATATCCTTCTCCAGCGACTGGTTCCTCCTAACAATATGTTGGAAGTATGAGAGATGAAGTTTGGCCATCTTGGCCTCCAAGGAGCACTCTGGCTGCACTTCTTCCAAAACGGATCTATTGGTTCTTTTGGCAGTCCATGGCACTTTTAGTATTCTCCTCCAACACCATAACTCAAAAGCATCAATTCTTCTACGATCTTCCTTATTCAGTGTCCAGCTTTCACATGCATATGAGGTTACTGAAAATACCATGGCTTCAGTCAGGCGAACCTTAGTTCTCAAGCTGACATCTTTGCTTTTCAACACTTTAAAAAGTTCCTGTGCAGCAGATTTGCCTAATGCATTACGTCGTCTCATCTCTTGACTGCTGCTTCCGTGAATGTTGATAGTTGATCCAAGAAGAATGAAGTCCTTGACAACTTTAATCTTTTCTCTGTTGATAAGAATGTTGTTTATTGGTCCAGTGGTGAGGATTTTTGTTTTCTTTATATTGAGATATAATCCATACCGAAGACTGTGTTCTTTGATCTTTATCAGTAAATGTTTTAAGTCCTCTTCACTTTCAGCAAGCAAGGTTGTATCATCTGCATATTGCAGGTTGTTAATGAGTCTTCCTCCAATCCTGATGCCACGTTTTTCTTCATATAGTCCCAGAGTAGAGCCTGCTGGGACTTTATGTGGGAGTGCATTAGGCCTCATGGTTAACCTGGGAACATGGCTTCTTATATCAGAAATGTTCCCATGTGCCCAGTCCCTCTCTAGGTCTGGAACAGCCCCCATCATAAAGATGAGAAGACTGAGATGTGCACTCTGCTCACAAAGCTGATGGGAGCCAGTACAGGGATTTAAACTGGATTTGGGTTTGCTGCCTCCTGGTCTCAATGGCACCATGCCTTCCTAGTGGATGGAGACCTGGCCTTGGGAGCAGGCCTGCGGGTTCTTTCTTCCCTTGGCTTCATCTGGGGCCTTGGGATCATCTTGGCTACATGTCTTGGCTGCCTATCTATGGGATGGGAGTAGAGGGCATGTTGGACAGGGTCACCAGATACAGTGGTGAGCACAAGGCAAGCCCATCATCATTGGGGACTATGTTGTTCTCAACAATGGCAGCTGCTGCTTCCGGCCTGCCCATAGGGCCTCAGGTGCTTTACCACCACTGAGACTTACTTTTTTGGCCTCTGGCCAACCTGTCTCTTGGGTGGACAGGCTTTTGGGTGTTTCAGGTATTGAGAAGACCGCATGCTTTTCCAAAGTCAAATAAGGCCAGACAGCCTCTGCTGGGAAAGCTTTAGCCTTAATTTGTGGTTGGTTACAGGATCATAACTCCATGCAAGCAGCCCCCCGAGTGCATGGGACAAAACCAATGTGCTGTTGAGTTTCATTATGTGCGCTGACCCCCACCTCCCACTATGCCAGGACTCTGACTGCCCAGCCCAGTCCCCATGCACTGGCTGTGACTCAGTTTCCTTGTCTGCAGAGTGGGGCAGCCTATAGTACCCACCTCCTTGAGGTGACTGGAGTGGGAGAAGCTGCCTGAGTTAACACACATTGGTGGCTATATTGTGACTACGTCGTTGAGCCCAGTGGGGCTCTTGGTGGTCTTGTTCTCAAGACCTCTAGGCCCTCAGGTGGCGCTGCTTTTTATCCACCGGCGTGTCTTTTATAAAAAGAGCAGGATCTGTCAGGAGTGGCAGTTCCTGTGAACTTGGGCAGTGTCTCTGGGTCCAGAACTCCTTTTCCAGGGGTGTGTTTGTATGAGGGGCCTCCGTTAGGCCCCTGACGCTCCGCACTGTCTGTGCTGATGGTACAGGACCTGTGGTGAGGACCTTTGTGAGTGCTGTGCCTGGGAGGACCAGGGTGGGGCATGGAGGAAAGGCTCTTTATGAAGAATGTTTATTGTCCTCTCGCCATTTCAAAAATCTCATGCTCATTGTACAAAAGTTTACAAAACAAAGCAGCAATGAGCAAGTAAATGCTACCCCAGCCCAGAGGTGGCCCAAGGGACCATTGCTGACATTTGTGTCTTTAGCAGGTGTCAGAGCAGGGCCAAAGTTTCACCTCATGGGCACCTGCCTGAAATCTCCCAAGTCCTTGGGTGTCTCCCCATGGCACTGTGTGGGACTTGGTGTCTCTGTGCTCTCAGGATTATTGTGAGCTGCTGTGTAACCAATAAGTGCTCAGCCAGCCCTTGGGGGTGGTGGGGCAGACATCATAGGTGCTGTTGCTGCCGCTCCAAGACCAGCTCTCAGGGTCCTCTCTAGAGCTTAAGAGGAGCTGTCTCGAGGCCCTTTCTGTGGAGGGAGACGCTCACTGGGGACAGCTCCACCGAGGGCCTTCCCAGGGGAGAGGGGCCTGGGCTTGGCAGTGCTTCACACCTGCTCCCAGCAAGGACTATCCTTTCTGTCTCATAGGCCTCCTGATCACATGCCGTGTGGCTAACATCCCACTGCTGCCTGGAAACAGAGAAGAGATGATTCGGTACCTGCGGTCGGTGCAGCTTCCTGATGGCGGCTGGGGCCTGTGAGTGCACATGTCAGTGATTGTGTGTGTGTGTGTGTGTGAAGCTGTATGGAGTATGTGCATATGTGTATGTGGTAGGCATGGATTGTGTGCAGGTGTGTGGGTGCATGTGTTCATGTGAGTGGGTGTATCGTGCACAGGTACTACTCACATGTGTGCATATGTGAGCAGCTATATTTGTATGTGCATACGTCTATGTAGGTATGTGGGTGCTAAGTATACATGTGTGAATGCATGTGAGCTGAAGTGCATGTTTGTATGTGTGTGCCTGGATGCTCTGGTGAACTAGCCTCAGTTGCGTTGTTGCCCTTAGGACTAACCTGGTAACTCAGAGTGGAACTCTCCAGCACATGTGGCTGGGCCGGCTCTGCCTGGGTGGTCTTGAATCTAATGGTCCTGGGAGGCATATGATCATGGATAATGGATGCTCTTGTGGTATTGTGTTAGGTAACATTTCTGTTTTCCTGAGTGCTTTGCTTCATTTCTTAGAAATAAAACAAGGTTTCCCCCCAACCCCCTTTGTGTTTGCAGGCACATTGAGGACAAGTCAACAGTGCTTGGGACAGCCCTTAGCTACGTGGCTCTAAGGATCTTGGGCTTAGGGCCTGACCAACCTGACCTAGTGCGAGCCCGGAATTTGCTTCATAAGAAAGGTATGTCCTGATGTACTGTGCAGGTTACCCTAGTCCAAAGGGCTCTCGCACATGACAAACAGAAGGGTGCTCTCCAGCTGACGCAGTGCAAAGGCTCAGACACGTGGGTGCAAGTGGTTCCACCTCATCAGCAGTTTGTAACCACTACAGGCAGCATGACTGTTCATGATGTGGGCCAGAAGTCTTCTCTCGTGGGGGTTGGAGAGCTCACAGCAGGCATGCACATGGTCCCTGTAGGGCTCACGTGGGTCACAAGCAGAGAGACACCAAAACCCAAATACGGTTCTTCTTTGCCCCAGGTGGTGCGACACACATTCCCTCCTGGGGCAAGTTCTGGCTGGCCGTGCTGAACGTGTATAGCTGGGAAGGCCTTAACAGCCTGTTTCCGGAGATGTGGTACGTGTGACCTCATGCTATGACACCTTCCATGGGAGAACAGTGAAGTGTGGACCTCAAATCACTGCTTTCAGTGGGTGATCATGCTCTTGCTCAGCTTTCTGAAGTTGCCTACTCTGTGTGTTGACCCTAGCCATATGGGATGGGTGGGCTTTGTGGTTGGGATGGGGTGGCAGACCAGGCTACAGCACTGAGCTGGGGCCCTGGAGTCGATAGCAAGGTGATAGGGTGTGATGTGGAGAACATGCACGCTATTGGGACATGTGTGGCTGCATGTCCCAGGCAGAGGGACAGAGGGGCATGCCATAGCCCTCACGGTGGCTATGTCTTGGCTCTGTTGTCATCTGCTCTCTCCTGGTATCTTCTGCTGGAGAATATGAATCCAACTCTTTAACATCTTACTTCACGCATGAGTACTCTGGAGTTTTTCTTTGATAGCAAAACTTTTTAATTTTTAAAAATAGAACTATAGTAGTACTCTTTATACAGGCATCAAAGTTAGCACTGATTTCTCATTATTTGGTTCCCATGACCAGAGTCTTTTGCTGTCTGACTACCTAGTAGGTACCGTGGCCATGCATCTCAGTCCTTCAACCCCACATGTTACCCTTGAACCTAGATGGACTCAGAGCCATGAGGGCGGGTGGGGTGTCCTGGGAGCTGTGAGGGTGGGTTGGGGCCTTCTTGGGGAGCCATGAGGGAAGAGGCTGTCTGTAGGCATCTCCTGTGTCAGGAGATGACTTGTGGCCAAGGTGGAGGAGCTGGTGATGGGGAGGAAGGAGAGGAGCAGCAAGAGGGATGGACAATGGGTCTGGGGAATGTATCGTTAGCTGTGATGGTGGTGGAAGGGTGCCCATCTGGAGGGCCACCTGAGGGAGAAGAGGGGAGATGTCTGTGACTCTCTGGTGAGGGGTGCAGGGTGAGGAGTCGGAGCAGACAGGAGAATAGTGGGAATGCCAGGTGAAGCAGGATGGTGGGCCTGGCTGAGCAGTCTGAGGCTTTAGGTGGTTGTGCCCAGGTGGAGGACCAGAGTGTGCACACACCCTGACCCACAGGTTATTCCCCTTGTCCAGGGAGCACATGGTTCCTCAGGAAGGTGAGGGAGTGGCTGAGCCCATGTGCAGAGGCCTTAGGGAAGCAAGCACAGCTCTACCTGACTGAGGACACCCTGTCAGACCCTGTGGGTTTTGGGATAGTGCACCAGTGTACATGATGTCAGATTCAAGGTACCAGGAAGGCACAATAGTTCTCATTCTGTCAAATGAACTAGTTTCGAATAGTTTTAGAATCCCAGAAATGCTGTCCCAGGGGACAGATCCTCCTGTGCCCCAGCTCAATGCTGACATTTCTTGTCACCACGGGCACTTCTCTTGATGGGAGATCATAGACAGGTCTGATGTAAGGTCTGAAACTCCAGTTGAGAAAGAGCTACCGTACTGCCTTGGCTTGGCCCTCTCCCGTGAGCGTGCAACTCGAAGGTTGTGGGTATGCCCTGGCCTGGGAGAATGGCTGTGCCCTGGGCATTGTGGTGGACAGGTGGCAGGCAGGATTTGCTTGCTGACTGACCACCCCCCCCAGGTTGTTTCCTGAGTGGATGCCTGCACATCCGTCCACCATCTGGTGCCACTGCCGGCAGGTCTACCTGCCCATGAGCTACTGCTTTGCCACAAAGCTGAGCTGTGCTGCTGAGGACCCTCTTGTGCAGAGCCTGCGGCAGGTGAGGTCCTGCCCACCCCACCCCACAACATGGTGTGAGGGCACACTTGCCTTTGTAGACTCTCTTAGGGGAGAGTGATAGGGGTTCCCTATGTAAGATGTGGGCTTGTCCTATGGGGCAGGTGGCAGAGGAAGACCAATGGAGGGACAGCAGGGGTTCTAGAGCTGAGATGATTCTCAGAGCTGTCCCAGCTTAGGCTGAGCTGGACTTTTGGCCCTGCTGTGGTCACCAAAGACCCAGGATCAGATGAGGTGGCCTTGGGGCTGGTAGCTGGGAGATTCCCTGAAGGCCCGGTTGCTCTTGGTGCTGACCTGTGTCCATCTGCATCTGTGGGTGCCTGCACTTGGGTTCTGTGTTCCCACCTGTGGCTCAGGTGTCCTGTCCCATAGGAGCTCTATGTGGAGGACTATGCCAGCATTGACTGGCCGGCACAGAGGAACCAGGTGGCACCCGAAGACTTGTACACACCGCACAGCTGGCTGCTCGACATCATGTTTGGTAGGTGTCTTCAGCTGCACACTGATCTGTGCAGGGTTGATGCTAGGGAGAGGGAGGAACAGAGACTAGGGCTTGGTCATTTTCTCATATCCAGCAAGAACCCTGCCTGTGTGTGGTCCCACGCAGAAGTGTGGGCGTACTTCTGAGGAGCCTAACTGTTCTTTTTGAAGGGAGGGCCCAGGAGAGGCTCAGGTCTGCCAGAGTGCGATTCTGTGACCTATTCAGCCTATTTCCATATAAGACCACTGAGCTACAAAGAGGCAGTGTGGCCTCCCCACCCCCTGACAGTGGCAGACCCACCCTAGCTGGGGTGTGGGTGAAGGCTATTCTTTTTGGGCCCTCCACTCACCCCATGTCCTGAACAGCTAGGTTTGGGTCACAGCACCCTGACCACTTATATGGGGAGAGTGGGGGTTGCTTGGAGCTGCAGACCTAGATGGAGTGGGGTCCACAGTGAGCACTTCCTGAGTCAGGTGAGAGGGGTGGAGGGAGTTTGGGAGAGCAGGGAGAGCAAGGGGAGAGGAGAGCTTGAGGGTGAACAAAGGAGGAGCCGAGAGAGCCCAGTGCTGCTGGGGCCCCAGGCTGCACCTCGTACCACGTGAGGGCTGGGTCCAATGACACCACCCTCCCCGCTTCTGCCTCCAGCACTGCTTAACCTGTATGAGCGTTACCACAGCACCAGCCTGCGGCAGTGCACCATCCAGAGGCTGTACCAACACATCGCAGCTGATGACCGCTTCACCAAGAGCATCAGCATCGGCCCGGTCAGTGCCCTGAGGGGCAGTAGGGTGTCCTGGGTTCATCTAGTGCATCTCATGACAGTGGCAGAGAGGGACCATGAGGTGCCCCTGACCTGCATGATTCTGCCCGTGTGCTTCCTCTGCCCTAGCTTGGAGAAAGCTGCGTCCTGCTCCATCACCACCACTGAGTGTAGTCTCTTGAGGAAGCGGTGGGTGCTGCTCCTAACCATGTCTCCAGGGGTCACTCTGGCTGGCTGTGAGGGGTTGCCTTTTTCTCTTGTGACCCCTTCCCACTCCTGTTCCTCCAGCCCAGAGCATTCTTATGACTGTATGCCTCAAGAACATTCTTCCCTGCTCAGATCATGTTGCAGCCCTGCAATATGAGACACCTGGTCCTTAGCCCTGTCCACTGCCCCCGGTCTTCTCACCTGCTGGCCTGTTGACGGCTCTCTCTGGGACAGCATGTCTGTCAGGTGGCCAAGCTGGTGGCGTGGGGCCCAGGTGACCTCACGCTCTTGCTCATTGCTCATGTCTGCAGATCTCCAAGACGATCAACATGCTCGTACGCTGGCATGTGGATGGCCCAGCCTCTCCTGCCTTCCAGGAGCACGTGGATAGGATCCCTGACTATCTCTGGTGAGTGGGTGACAATACCTGGCCCAGGTGTGCACTTGTGGCCTGATGGCAGACACCGCAGGCATACAGGCATTCAGACACAGGGCAGGGGCCACAGTACCATGGGGCCTGGGAAATAGCCTCATGACCAGGACCTTAAGGCTGTGGAGCCAGCTAGGCTCTTTGCAGCAACAATTTGCCACCAAGAACAAACTGAATTGTTGGAATCTTGCCTTCCAGCTCCCTGACTTGGCCTCTCTTCCTTACAGGCTAGGACTCGATGGCATGAAGATGCAGGTAGGACCCAGGACCCCAGGGAGTGAGGGGGAACAGCTCTTTTCTGCCTTCATTATTTTGCATTGGACTTTCTCAGATTCAAACCTCTCTTCTCTAATTGAGCCCAACTGTGTGTGATGAGGGCCTAAGTCCCCCAGCCCTCCTAAGCCTTCATTAGAAATGACCTGGAAGTTGTGGGGTACAGGTGCTCCCTGGGTGTGGGCACTGTACTCTCATGGTTCACTTGATGTAATTCTCCATCCTCTTCTCCATTGTTCGTGTGGGCCAAGCTGCTGTTCCAAGGGATCCCAAAGTTGCAGCCCTAACCAGAATCCTTGTTGGCCTCTGGTTGGGGTCAGAGCTCCGAGCCGGGGTTGCTGCCTGGGCCCCCTCTTTCTCCAAGCTGCCCCTGTGCTCAGCACTGGTGGACTCTGTGGGGCAGATGTGGATGGGGGAGGATGTGCTGCTGCTCCTGCTATAATGTCCCTGTTTGTATCCAGGGCACCAATGGCTCACAGGTCTGGGACACGTCATTTGCCATCCAAGCCTTCCTGGAGGTACATGGTCCCTCTGTCAGTTTCACTTGTCTCTGTGCACTGCTGCATGCACTCTCCCCCATGCCCTATCATGTCCCCTCATGTGCCCTTTCCACCCCATGCCCTTGCTGCTCCTCAAGTCCTCTGCTTGCCTAGGTCTTGGCCCTGGGGCTCCCTCACTGGCTTCTGTCAACTCCTGGAATGTCACCACATTTGTCGGTATGGGTGTAAGGTGGCACTGAGCTCCAGGAACCCTGGGTCTTTGCCTGAGCAAGGGGGTGGGGGCTTTACTCTGGAGTGATGGCCGGAAAAGAGTTGTGTTTTAAGGTGTTAGCTGCTGTCTTGGTGGAGGTACCAGGTTGTCATTGGGTCTAGCTGGGTGAGGAGGGAGGGTCTGGCTGAAAGGTGAGGGGAGGGTGGTGGCTTTAGGCTGAGGGGCCAGGATAGGGGTTTAGTAGGGTCAGGATGCCTTTTGCTCTGCTGATGGTGGTGGATACTTAAAGCCCATTTTGAAGTGGAGAGGATGCGGCAAGTATCAAGCTCTACAACTCCCAGTCATCCGCCACCTTCTCCATGCATCATGAGAGATGTTCATGGATTTGAGGGTGTTTGTAGTCCTGTTGTCCTTGGGCTGACCCAGGAAGGGTCTGGGTCCCACAAAGGACTAGCCTGCTGGGGTACAGGCATCAGTGGGCTCTGTTTTCCCTCAGGCTGGTGCACATCACAGACCAGAGTTCGCATCCTGTCTGAAACAAGCACATGAATTCCTCCGAATCTCACAGGTGAGGACACCAGCTTCTCTTGTTCCTGCCCAGCCCTCCCCTCGCCCCACGATGATGCTCAACCTTTGCACTTGGCCTGTGCTATTTCCTATTGTGCCCCTCTCCTACCTCCTCCAGTCTGCCTCTGACCCTGTTTCTCCGTGAGCAGCTCTTGCTGAGGCCTCCCAGAGCCTGTATCACCTCTGGCCGGGTCTGGCACATACCCAGAGCTGGAACAGGTGGAGTGACCCATCATGGGACTGAGTGACAGTGCCTCCCTCCTGCCACAGACCCGTCCCCTTCAGCCTCATCCCAGTTCTGCATCTCCCAAACGGAGGTGCTGACACATTCCCTTTGCTTTTCACATGATGCTGCCTAGGTACCGGACAACCCCCCTGACTACCAGAAATATTACCGCCAGATGAACAAGGTATGCCCCTGCTCCACATGTGGTCACCCAGATGCCTGGGAATTTCCCATCTGGAAGGTGTCTGCCCCCTGCATCAAATGGCAAGCTGTCTCCTCATGTGGCCATGGTCCTGTGCCTGCCACCTTTTAGGAAGTTATAGATGCTCACGGTTCAGTAACCATTGAGTCATGAGCTCAAGCAGTGAAAGGAGACAGAGGGAGGCAGCGTGTCATCAGCCCAGCTCCATGTGGTGAGACTGGAACCCTGGAGGCACCTGATGAGCCCAGGCTTTGGTTTCAGGGCGGCTTCCCCTTCAGCACGCGGGACTGTGGCTGGACTGTTGCTGACTGCACAGCTGAGGGACTCAAGTCTGTGCTCCTCCTGCAGGAACAGTGTCCCTTTATCACTGAGCATGTGCCCCGAGAGAGGCTGTATGATGCAGTCGCTGTGGTGAGAGTGCTGGGCTGGGAGGGAGGGCAGTGCCCCCACACCCCAGTATGTGTCCCAGACAGATGGCACAGGGGTGAGAGCTTGAGGGAAGAGCTTTCCTGATGGTTCCGTATGGGGACTGTGAGTCTCGCTGGACTGTGGAGACCTGGGTTGGTTGTGGCCCTGGGGAGATGCAGGCAGGGACTGTGAGGAGACCATTATTACCCACATTTTCCACTCTGTGTGGAGGTCCAGTACTTGTCCACACCTACATTGTGTGACTCCCAGTGTCCTTTGGGAGGATGGCAGTGTGCAAAACAAAACTGAGGACCTTTTGTTTAGAATCCTTTCAGCCTGCCCCCTTTCATGTAGATCTTACACCAGACAATGCTACATACTGGCCTGGCAGCACATGTCTGACTTGTGAATGGTCTCTGTGTATGTTTTCACTCACCACCTGCCTGTGGTGAAATTTGCAGCTCACTGTTCTGGGTACCAGGTGTGGTTTAATCTGGGGGTGCTCCCATGCCCATGATGCTTGACCTTGTGCTCTGGGAAGCCTGGTGCAACTCTGGAAGACACTAGATTCTAACTGTCTCTATTGGATTTTAGTTGCTGAGCATGAGGAATCCTGATGGAGGCTTTGCCACCTATGAGACCAAGCGTGGAGGGTACTTGCTGGAGCTGCTGAACCCCTCAGAGGTCTTCGGTGAGTGCACAGCCATTGTGGGACACAGCTCTGTAGGTCACTGTCCAGCTCCTATAGCCCAACCCCTGGTCCACAGTAGGGCCAGCAATGACCCTAAAGTGTGACTTCCTGCCACTCAAGACCCCAGCACAGAACCCTGAACTCTAGAAGAGAAAACTGAGATCTGTTCTCGTGAAGGCCCCACATCTCCGGGAGCCCCCTTACTGGGGCCAGTTGCTTCAGGTGCCCTCACTGAGCTCTGGCACTGTGCAGAAAGGTGTGGTGTCGGGCCCCGAGTCCTGGCTAGTACTCCATCACCTGGGAGCATCCACCTATAGTTCTGGTCTGGCCAGGCGGGTTCTTTCCTAGTTGTGGTATGCTCCCCTGCACCCTCCTTCTGGGTGAGGTCTAAAGAAGGTCAGGATCCAGCTCCCTGCCTAATCTCCTAGTTCTGTGCCCTCCTGTAGACAGGCCAGGAACCAACTCACCATGCTGGTGCAAGTCTCCTCTGCCATTGGTGGCTGTGTACCCGGGCAGGTCACTGATGACATCCCTGTGTCCTGGAGGGGCACTGGGCCATGATCTGCTGGCTCTGCCCCGTGGGGGGACACTTACTCACTGTAGGCTCTTGTCCCTCTCTCTCTCTTGCCTTCCCAGGGGACATTATGATCGACTATACATATGTGGAGTGCACCTCAGCGGTGATGCAAGCACTGAAGCATTTCTACAAGCACTTCCCGGATCACAGAGCAGGCGAGGTCAGGTGAGCCCAGGCCCTGGCCAACCTTTAAAAACTGAGAGCAGATTTCTTCTGATGTAGGTAAATGGTGGCTTGTCCCAGAAAGCGACTGAAGATAAAATTCATTTACACACAAGAGGTTTGGAATGTTCCTGAATCCTTTTGTTTGCCTTAAAGTGGACCAAGTATGTGTATTGGGGCCCAGAATAGCAATGGTTATAACACAAAAAATGGGTTGTTTTTCACACTTGAGTAATGTTTTTAAAAAAAGACGTTCGTTTAATTTCACCTATGTCGGAGTCCTGGTGTGGCCCCGTGGGATAGTGCACAGGACTGCAAAGTCATTTTGAACCCCAAGGTCGCTGGTTCTCATTCACCAGATGCTACTTGGAAACCTTATATGAATTGGAACCGACTTGATGGCACTTAACTACAAAAACTTGTTGAAATAGTGTCACTATAGGATAAGCACTGGATTGCTAACCACAAACAAGGTCAGTTGTCAAACCCACCAGTTGCTCCTCAGCAAACCCTACATAGGGTCACTGTGAGTCAGAACCGACTCAATAGCACTTAACAACAACTATAGCAATGGTGGTTTTATGGTAAGCATATATAAAAAGTCCCTGAAGCCTAAGTGACATCTTGATGAATTTGATCACCAGCATGCAGACAGATGTCTCTAGCTTCCCCCTGCCCTGCACACACACAGGGATCACTCCTGACTCTTCCACTCACCTCTACATCTGCTAGACTCAACTAGCAGTGGCATGTGGCTGGGGCTAATAGGCTATAACTGCCATAAGCATTTGGATAGAAAGGTCCACTTTTTAATCCTTAATCCATTTGCCTGTTGAGAGATACTGGAATTGTTTTCATTTTGGGGTTATTATGAAGTACCCTTGTCTTCTGGGTGTATCCGTGCACATTTCTTGGAGACATGCACATAGGTAAAATGGCTGTGTTATGGGGGCATACTGTTTTTGTTTTTATCTTCTTCTTCTTAAAGTTTTTATTTCAATATTCTTCTCCAACACCATAACTCAGATGCATCAATTCTTCTACGGTTTTCTTTATTCACTGTTCAACTTTTGCATGCATATGAGGTTATTGAAAATACCATGGCTTATATCAGGCACACCTTAGTTCTCAAACGGACATCTTTGCTCTTTAGCACTTTAAAGAGATCTTGTGCAGCAGATTTGCATAATACATTACATCATTTGATTTCTTGACTGCTGATTCTGTGAGTGTTGATGTGAGCAAAATGAAAGTGTTTGTAGTATATACTTATTTTATTTTGGGCTTTAAAGAGCCCTGGTTGTGCAGTGATTAAGCACTTGGCTACTCACTAAAAGTTCTGTGGTTAAAACCTACCAGCCACTTCACAGGAGGAAGATGAGACTGTGTGCTTTCATAAAGGTGTGCAGCCTTGGAAGCCCTGTGGGACAGGTCTACTCTGTCCAGTAGAGTTGCTATGAGTTGGAGTGAATTCAGTGACAACAGGCTTGTTTTCTTCCTGTTGTTGTTTGTGCGTTTTATTTTGAGTATCAACAGTTACTGCTCTTTATTTTTTTCTTTGTACTCTAACTTTTTGAGATGGGTAAATGATGACTTCTAAGATAAGCGATTTTCATCCTTTCTTTATAGGTAAGTGTGTGAGGCTATCAGTAAGTTATAATATCACTCAGTTAAAATATTTTAAAATTATTTTTGTCAGTTCTCCGACCCATGGATTGTTTAGGATTCTGTTGCTTCATTTCCAGAAAACCTAAGGATTGTCTTGTGTTTTTGTGGGAGGTCCTGATGGACTGGTGGTTTCCTTTTGTCCTGGTGATGGGTCAAACCACCAGTGGGTGGTACTGTCTTTTTTATTGTTTTCACCCAGACCTGGCACACAGGTGCCCCTGGGGTATGATAGTAATGCATTTATCTAGAATTGTTCATTTGCCAGTCCTTAAGCTGCTTCATTGTCCATTGTGTGGCCCTCCCTGCTGGGCTCGTTTTGTCTTCAGAGATGGTTCACAGAATTGGCCTCGTGAGTGCGACAACTTTTTAAACCTGTCATCTTTTAAATAATCTCCATATTACCAGCTGTTCCGTGGGAGAAAGATGAGGCTTTCTGCTCCCGTAAAGATTTGCAGCCTTAGAAACCCTGTGCAGGGTCGCTATGAGTCGGAACCGACTCCACGGTACTTAACAACAACAACATATTGCCTTGGACAACCTATACAGGGTTGCTATGAGTTGGAACCTACTTGCTGGCACACTACTGCCTCCACCACCATACTAGGGAGTCTTGGTGTGGCGCTGTAGGATAAGCACTGGACTGCTAACCGCAAGATTGGCAGTTCAAACCCACCAGCTACTCCGTGGGAGAAAGATGAGGCTTTCTGAACCTGTCAAGATTTACAGACTCGGAAACCCTACATGAGGTCATTATGAGTCAGAATCGATTCGATGGTACATAGCAACAACAGTACTACTAAAGTAAAGCATGTTTTTTGATGGGCACTTTGAAATATTGTTGTTGTTAAGTGCTGTTAGTTCCAACCCATAGTGACCCTGTAGAGGGTTTTCAAGGAGGAGTTGGTGAGCTTGCACCACCAACCTTTCAATTCAGATGGACTTTGCAGTCTAGCTCATTCATCCATAGTGCCATACCAGGACGCTGTATAGGAACATGCAAAGAAGAAATTTCTCTACTTGCACTTCTGAAGTGTCTGTTAACCACTTTGTGACTCCCCATCTCATGATTGTCAGTGTGTGCACATGTGCACATAGGCCTGTATCTTCTGTGTCACTGTTCACTCTGTACCTGGTGGGGTTTCTGGAAGCAGGTGGTGACTTCTCGTGTTAGTTGGAGGTTGTCTCCCATAGGACTGTGATGTCTGCACAGTGTGTCACTTTACTTCTTCAAGAGCCTCTAACTTTCATTGTTCTTTTCCAAGTTGTTATTATTTTAATCTTGACCATACTTAAAGTCACACTCAACTGCTATTGAGTTGATTCCAACTTATAGGGTTTCCAAGGTTGTGAATCTTTGCGGGGGACACAAAGCCTCCTCTTTCTCCCATGGAGCAGTGGGTTTGAACTGCTGACCTTTTGGTTAGCAGTTCAGTGCTTATCTTACAGCACCACCAGGGCTTCTTTTACTTTGACCGGTATCCTCTTAAGTCTTTATTATCCCTAGAACAGCTGTTGGCTCTTGGATCCCCTAGCCTGAGTTGATCCATGACTCTACCTGTAACTGGCACTTCTCCCCTCTGCTGCTCCTTCTCCTGCCAGCCAGGGTACAGCACAGCCTCTCTGGGTTGGAAACATTTCAGAGGCCTGAAGGTCCTGTAGAATGTGTGGCACACATTAGCCCCACACACTAAGAAGTGTCATTGTATAGAAGTTGCTTATCATTGATTTCATATTGCATGTCTTTGGAGACTGCTGAAGTAGAATTTTCCCCTCATAATCAGTGTTGTCTTTTTTTTTTAATGAAATGTTTATTAATGTAATCACTGGATCATTATCAGTGTGTCTTTTTTTTAATGAAATGTGTATTCATCCACTTAGCAATTTTTAAAAGCTTTTTATTGCAAATTGGGTGAGGATTTACAGAGCAGACTATTAGTTTTACATTAAACAAATCTTGCACTTTTTCTCATGTAAGTGATTGCAGTTCCCACATTGCAACATCCTCCCACTCTCTCCTTGGGTTTCTTGTTTCCACTTCTCCCTCTTTCCCAAGCCTTCTCAATTTTGTCCTTAGGGAAAGGCTGCTTTTCTGATCTCGAAAATGGACCATTCTGTGGTGTATGAACTGCAGGATAATGTGCTGGATTGCAAGGTCAGTTTGAACCACAAGGTTAGCGGTTCAAACTCACCAGTCAGAGTCAGAACCGACTCGACAGGACTTAACAATAACAAAACAAAATGTGTGCTTCACTAGTGTTACTGCCTCTCTTATGTATCTGTCTACTGCTTGGCTGAAAATATCCACAGGGGTGAGTTCAGTTCCAGTCCTGAAGGGTGACTAAGAGTCGTAGTCTTGGGGTTCCACTAGTGTCTTATCTGACAAGTGGTGGTAGTGGTGTGCTGTTGAGTTGCTTCTAACTCTTAGTGACCTTGCATAAGATTTCCAAGGCTGTAAATCTTTATGGGAGCAGAAAGCTTCATCTTTCTTCCACAGAGTGGATGGTGGATTCAAACTGCTCACCTTGTAGTATGCAGCCCAACGTGTAGCCCACTCTGCTTCTGGGGCTCCCTGTTTGAGCAGTAAGCCTGGTCTTTTTTTATGAAGTTGAGTTTTCTCCCACTCTATCCAGGACCTCCTAATGTGATTCCTTTCAGAGCAATGGGTAGTGGTAGCTGGGTGCCATCTAGTTCTGGTCTCAGGGTTGTGGAGACTGATGTTCACGTGGTCCATTAGTCCATTGGACAAATCTGCAGACTATTTAAATTTTCCTAAGGATAAGCACAGAGTTCTAGCCCAGTAGCTGATCCTTGGGAGAAAGATGAGGCTTCTTGTTCCCACAAAGAATTATGGAAGGCCTATATACGGGTAGCTATGAGTTGAAACCGAATCGATGGCACACAACAGCAACACAACGATTAACCCAATAATGTGTTTCATAATAAATTTTTTTCTTTAAGGTCTAATCCAAGATGGGTTGTTCGTAAGTTGTCATTTCTTCATCATTTTTAAGCTAGGATAGTTATTTAGTCTTTCCTTGTCTTTTGTGACCTTGGAATTTTTGAAAAGTACAGACAAGTTATTTTGTGGAATGTCCTAATTTTCTGGTGTTCTTAATGATTAGACTCAGGTTCTAAAATCATGCATTTTTGTCAGGAAGATCATGAAAGAGGTGTCGTCTCTCAGTGCCTCATCTTAGGAAGCTTATTAATGATGCTGATTGTGATCAATTGATCTAGGTGATAACCATTTGATTTCTCTATTGTAAAGTTATTATTGTCTTTGTGGGGAGAAAGTTTTAGTTTTTGTAAATGTCTTGTGTCTCATCATATTTTTA